AAATTGAGTTTTATTTGGCATTTTATATGCTGCAATTTTCATTGCAGCACGAGCAATGTCTCTCTCTCTCTCTCTCTCTCTCTCTCTCTCTCTCTCTCTCTCTCTCTCTCTCTCTCTCTCTCTCTCTCTCTCTTCTTCGTCGTTGACTTCCTTGCAGGTACGCGGAACCTTCTTCTGCAGCGAAGCTATGGCGGACTTCTTCTTCACGGTGGCGCTATTCAACTGTGGTGCCCTACCTGCTGCAGCGGCGATGGCGCATGGGATGGCGGGTACCAGCTGCAATACCAGTGCAAATGCTTTCATTCACACGTCACATGTATGCAAACACGTTGCGCAGCAAACTGGCGTCAAGCGCCCACTCAGAACTCAGAGATATAGTACCAAGAACTCAGTTCAGATACAAGTTCACTTCAAAGTTCAAACGGCTATGGCGGCACATAGCCTGTACAACTCTCTGTTCGTCACTTACTCGACACTGCTGTTCGCACACAGGACCACCCTGGATATCCCACACGCAACACTCTGTACACTCGCACACACCCGCACACACCTACAGCTATGGCGGCTATGGCCGCTGCTACTCTATCGCTATGGCTAACTTCCTTCTTGCCCACTTCGTCCTCGGGCTCACTGCAGACCACCTCGCACAAGTCGCTATGGCAGCACTTCCGCATGGCTTACGCAGGAGTGAATGAATGGCTGGACGCTGCCTCTTGATTTATACTTCTGTAACTCGCTGGTCTGCCCTTTTCCATCGGCCCATGGTGCACACAGTCCATCATGGTACTTGCTGGACTGGACTGGACTGTGGACCCGTACCGCTGACTGCATGGGTTTGCACCGCAGACTCACTGCAGTCGCACTGCCAACGTACTGAGGTTGGCTTCACCACTTGCCCACTTGCCTCTGACTAAACGTGAGCCCACTTCAAAAGGTCACTTCCGGGACCTTCCGGAAGTCTGTAGACTTGACCTTTCGGGTACTGTAGCAGCTACGACCTTGACCTCTCAGGACTGTAGCAGCTACGACCTTGACCTTTCAGGATCCCTGCAGCTACGACCTCTACAGGGCTGTGACTCCTACTCGACAGACCTCAAATTGAACCCCTACCACTACACAGACCTATGACAGACAACAACAACTGTCAAAACACAGGTCACGTGTTCAAACACTCGGGGTCGACACAGATACTGTACACAGGTAAGGTGAGAACTAGGGATTGAGCCCTGGGATCTGCATTCGCTACTGCTAAAAGGTGAAAACCGATTCACTGGCACGAACATAGAAATCCCGTGGACCACTTACAAAGGTCTGAAACCAATAAATTCCACAGCCTGCAGTGGCTGATAGCTTATGCCACCCTCCCAGTCAACCAATGGTTCCATGTTCATAGGAGGCATTCCAACCCTAACATCTCCTCTGTCTGCTAAATGTGTACAAACAACCTACACTAGGATTAGCTCCACGGCCTGCTTTCCTGCAGCAGGGCTGTCTGGTTTTGGAACAGAGTCAACGATCTATGGTTCTCCCTCTTTGCACTCCCATCCCCAACCCATGGACGATCTTGAAGAGAAGATGCGTGCCCAGACGATTGAAGGTCAGAGGATTGAAAGGAACACCGCAGGGTGCTGATAAGTCACTGCAGAGGACAAGGCCTTCCTCGAAGATATTGAAGGAACAGGCTCTTATGGCAACAAGAGCGTTCAAGGAAGGAATAGGCAGGATGCCAGCCATCACTCGGGAAAAGGAACAATCAAAGCTCCACAGGGGGATTTCGGTACTGACAGAAGAAGCGTAGCGAGGAGTCCAGTCTGGTAGATTCACAATTTCGCTACAAGCCTACAACAGCTCAAGTTGCACACTAGGAAATTGGTTAGCTTGGTATACCTGTGAGTACCATAGGAGCTAGACGTAGCTGATTACTTTGAACTTTGAAGACAAATTCCCTCCGAATCCCTCCCCAAAAAACAAATCAGCAACTCAGTGTCAGGATCCTCCAGCCATAACGGGAAGATACGGAGCATGAGTGTTCGCAATCTGGATTCCAGATAGTTATTAAAAAAAAAAAAAAAAGTTTGGGGGCTCATGCACATTCTGTGAATGCTTTGTGCAGTATATGCGCATACTGTGCAGATTGCACTTCATACCATCCCTTTACTCTGTGTACAACATGTATCCTCTGAACCCTACGTCAAGGTAATTCTTTCTATTTAGTCCTATACTGGGATCGCTGTCCTTTATAGTCCTATATTCGGATTGCTAGACTCTTTGTCCTTCAGGGAAAGCTCGAAGGGAAACTCCTAAGAGGATGTGGTAGCCCCTACAGCCACATGGGTATGAGTCCTCCGCTGGTTCTTTAAGACTGGCAGTGAAAACTGCTAGCAATAGTAAGACAACAGAGACTGAGAAGATGCCAGCATGCCCTTGGTTTCAACCAAGAATTGCATGGACAAAAAAGACCGCTGTCAAAGTCTGTCTTTTCATTTTTGAAAGGCAAAAACGATGAGCAAATGTACAACAGCAGTCTTTCAGACCAAAGTGCATTACCTGTAGACATCTCCCCAGTGATTGGCACAGCTCCACCGCCAACTGGCACAGCTCCACCAGCAGGAGGCATACACCCAGAATACAATGGTGGCGATGATACCTTGAGAGAAGACCTACCTCCATAGGATGCTTCAGGGCACTTCTGTTGCTGCTGTTGTTGCTGGCTGCCAAAAGCCTTGTCACCATCACCTCCCTTATCTCGTGTGGGCTTTGGCCGCGGAGGTGACAGGGGTGGCCAAACCCTTGACATTGGTCCTCGACCCCCTCCACCCCCTCCAAGCTCTCCTTGGCGAGGTGGTTCCAGAATTACTCCTGTGTGGTTGCCCCTTCCAAGCCGGAGGCTGTATCCAACCTGACTGACAACCGCACCTGAACTTGGAACTCCTGTGCCTGTCAATTCCACCAGGCCAGCCACACCCTTCCCAGTTTGCTCCCTTGCAAGGCGATGATCCTCCTCCAACACAAATGGAAGCTCCCCATGTGAGCTGTCATCATTGCTCTCATCCGTGCGCAGAGGGTGTTCTTCTCTTGATAAGTCCTTGGCGCCACTTAGGGTACTTTTCTCCTCGGCAACTCCTGCTGGTCTCCTGGTGTTTCCGCCCTTTTCTCCCTCCTGACAGATATCCTTCCTGCCGCATGAAAGACATTTCATTCTCGTCACTCTCTCTCATCTGCTTCCCTTCTTCTTTATCCAGACTTCACAAACCTTTGGCACATTCCCCAGAAGATCGGTTCCCCCTCTTCAGCACATGTTCAAGCATTCACTTCTATGAAATTGAATGAAGCCTGGCACAGAAGAACATCTCTCTTACGAGTCATACTCATGCGCATGAAGTAATTTGTTTCTGTGATGCATACCTATGCCCTATGCTCCTTATCACCAGTAAATCAATGTTCTCTTCAACAAGTGGCAAGCAGCGTGTGTGACTGCTCAAACGGCACTCAGCTTACTAGGTAGGAGAACATCTTCATTCTCTGATTACTGTATGCCTGAGCTCATTTATTACCCTCCTAGTTTGAATGTGTGAACTTTGTTCAGTCATGAGTTGCCAAAGATGAAAAGTAAACACAATTTAGCACATTCTTCCTTCTGGTTTTCTCAGGTTTTAGCTGTGCCAATGTGAGCATTCACTGACTGGACATGATGAGCAGGCCTGGTAGATTCATGAGCCTTGTTCAACTAAACTGCTCTACAGCACCACCAGATGGACTTCGGTGCTCATCACCTCTTCCTCATCCCCACAATTATAGAAGTTGCTAATTTCAAAGTTTGTGACAAACTATAGATCCTCTCTGCAGCACGCAAAATGAAAATGGGGAACAGCCTAGGCCACGAGCTGACTACAGACCTTGCAAAATATACGTGGAAAGTCACAGCGACATCAGCGACATCAATATCCAAAGAATTTCCAAGGCCTAGTAGTACTGCCGCCCATAAGAACATCACCCGCAATTCCCAGGGCTAGTAGTACTGTCGCCCACAAGAACCTCACTCGTTAACAACCCCCCAAGAGGCCGAGAGGGTCCAAAATGCTTATGCAAAGTCACACCCATATCAACATCCAAAATAGTTCTCGAAGAGCTCTGCAACTCCCGAGGCCGCAAGAAAATTGTCAGAAGGCCTACACCTCCAAGCCCAGAAGCAAATTGAGAGAGAATATGGGTCTCCCAGGGCCCTCAAATGAATAAAAGGAGGCCCAAACTTCCCACCCAAACCCCTGACAGCCTTTTTTACCCTCTGACCTCTCTGTTCTTCTCTTCCTGTTCTTTTTTTTGCCTTATTTATTCTCTTGTATTACTCTATATCTCATATATTGCAGTTCCTCGAACCCCCACCACCCCTGCATCCGTTCCTCCATCTCTCCTCCATCCCTCCTGCCATCCCTCCCTCCACCCCTCCATCTATCCCTCCGTCCATCCCTGTCCCTCCATCCACCCTCTGTCCGCCCCTCCATTTGTCCGTCTGTCCCTCCGTCCATCCATCCCCGTGTCCTGCTTCATCCATCCATCCATCCTCCGTTTGTTCGTTCATTCGTCCTTTTCCACTACAGTAGCTTTAAGCACATTCTGAGTGTTGCAACCCATTGTGCTTTTGAAAGGATGCAGGATTTTGATACACTGTACACTACCTTTCTCTCCTGCCAATGCCATCCATCCGTATGCTCCACTCGTCCATCTGTCTGTCCAGTCCACCATCCATCCCAGTCAGTCACTCTCTGTCCCTCCCTCTGTCCCCCCCAACATCCTTCCCTCCCTACCTCCATCCATCCATCTGACCACCAGGCTGCTTATCTGTTGGTCTGCCCGTCTCCTTGTCGATCTGGTCGGCCACCCATTGATCCGTTCATCCATCCCATCCATTTGTCCGTCCATCCTGCCCTCCCATCCGTCCCGTCAACTTCTTCCTCCGTCCATCCGCTTGCCCCATCTCACCGACCGTCCGTAACCACCGTCCCACCCATGTGCCTAGCCTTCCCACTGGCCAGTTAAGTGCATTCCACCCAGCTGTAGTGCATGCTCTTCCCACTCTGCCCGCCTGTCCCACCCCCTCTGCCCATCTGCCCCTGCCCTGTCCCACCTGCTGTCCCCGACCAGCCCGCTCACTGCCCCTCACAGGCTACCCAATCTGCCCACCCTGCCCATTCAGTCCATTCTGTCCAAATCATCTGGTTGTGTACCACCTGTCTAATTCCATCTTGCCCATCCTCTATACCCCCTGTTCCGATCCTCCCCATCCCATCCCATTCCACCCTGTCCAATCTCATTCAACCACCATCCCTGTCATCATGCCCATTCCCATCCCCATTCCTACCCACTCCCATTCCCCATGCCATACCAGCCCTATCCCCACACCATCCCATCCACCATATTGTCTTATAAATCTTAGGTTAGATATTGCATCACTCTAATCTCCTCCTATCTGATCTAATATTGTAATAATTCGGCCTGCGCATCTGACTTTTATTGATCCACTTCTGACTATCTAACCCAATCTACTTTGGTCCAACCTGATCTGACCTCCCCTGGGCTTATCTGAGGCTATGAATATTACTTACGTCATCTAATCTACTCTATACACTTAATATCTTATCTTGCATCATCTTGTCTGCATCTTATCAACTCAATCTACTTTGGTCCAACCTCCTCTGACCTGACCTGGTCTTATCTGATACTATGCATCTGACTTATGTGATCTAATCTACTCTATCTACTTAATATCTTACGTTATCTTGTCCGAATCTTATTCTTTATCTTCTCTACACACATCTAACACCTATCTGTTGACCCCACACAAGTTTACAATGACATCCTAACTCCTAGCAACCATTTGATGAAACTCTCTCTCTCTCTCTCTCTCTCTCTCTCTCTCTCTCTCTCTCTCTCTCTCTCTCTCTCTCTCTCTCTCTCTCTCTCTCTCTCTCTCTCTCTCTCTCTCTCTCTCTCTCTCTCTCTCTCTCTCTCTCTCTCTCTCTCTCTCTCTCTCTCTCTCTCTCTCTCTCTCTGTATATATATATATATATATCACAGTGTTTGTGAATGTGCTGTCTCATTTTGGCTATTGCCTGAGGGTATGCGTTTTTCATATGCTATTTCCCAACACTGTCAACTTTTGACGGGACGTCTATCAAGATGTTGGCAATGAGACATCTATCAAGATGTTGGCAATGGGATATCTATCACGACGTTGGCAATGGGACATCTATCAAGACATTGGCACCGTACGGACATGATATTGCTGTCAAGCAACAACCCAACTCTCTAGGTGGACCACATAGAGAACTAAGCAATGCACAAGAACACCAGCAATCAAACAGCCGCACATACAGGGAAAGAAACTGACACAAATCTTTTCCTCTGTGTCTCATAAGGGAAAATGAGACCCCAGCAAGCCATCAGATTAAACAGCAGGATTACTTCCTATACAATCAAACGGACAGGTCTTCTGCATTCTTCAACAACCACTCTGAAACGGTATTCACCTGCTAGCGAATGCAGATCCCAGGGCTCGATCCCTAGACTTTACCTTACCTGTGTACATTACCTGCGTCGACCCCGAGAGTTGAACCCGTGACCTGTGTATTTGTAACAGTTGGTAGACTGTCGCAGGTCCATACGTGGTAGGGGTTCGATATGTAGACCTATTGGATAGA